GTTTACTACTTAGCGGCTGTGTACCTGTGGGTTTATTCTGTGTGTTAATGGATGTTCTAATCTTGGTGTTTTTCCAGTGATTTCTCTTGGTGCAATCCAAATACAGTAGGTGTGTCTTGTTTACCTGAGATTTGCAAGAGTTTGAGCTGGCCAACATGTTAGTTTTTTTCATATGGTTGATTACTGGCATGTTGATTTCCCATTTTTGAGCCATATTTTCAACTTTCTTCGTCATTTTCATATAGCAATCTCGTCATATGTTAACATTGTCGTCTATGGAAATTCAATTAGTGGTATGAGCCCTCTACAGGCAACATGCACATGTGTTGCCCTCTACAGGTGACATCTACAGGTGAATGTTGACTCACCTCTTTCTGCTGGTGACTTTGTTGAATGTCATTGAGCCCCTGTTGAAGTGAAGTAATCTCATTCATGTATTGTTTTCTTTCATTTTCAATCTCAAACAATGGACGGTGTTCATTTTCTATCTTGCTGTTCAGTGACTGGACCTCTTCCTTTAACTCGTGTTTCTCTCTCTCTAAACCTGAAAAGATGGATACATATTGACAACAAACATTTTACTAACATGTCAAACCACCACTTTATAATTGAATTATTTCTTTGCATTTGGTTTATTTTTCAATTTCGAAAAGAATCTTTGAACCTGGTGATGCAGAAAACAAACTCTTCAAACTGCATTATGTTTTAATAATCATAATATCTTAATAATTACAGAAAGGCTTAAGAGGGTACCTAGTTCTGAAGCCATTTTGCACACTGTGTATAGGAAGTATAGGTATTTTTTCATTGGGACAAGACCAATTGGTTTGCCAATTGCATTTGTTACATTTATAGTGAAGTTCAAGACCAAGTTATTCCTACAGATGGTTGAAAACAAAGTTAAACAATGGCAAATTTTAACTGTTAAATTAAACTAAAATTGAGTCTGAACACAGACTATGCAGAAAATGTTCAGAATGAAGTACATGTTTTTTAGACTGTACATACTTTGACACTGCAAGGCAAACACTATTGCAGGAATGTGTAATAAATGTATACATGTACAATGAAAATCATATTCAAGAATTGATTTTCAGTAAAGCTACAGACAGCAACATTCCATTTATAAAATATCTCAAGAAAACAGTTTACAAATCATCAATTAAAGAGCACAGGTATACTTAGATGTATTGTTATAATATCGTAACATTAAATCATGAATTAAATTCACTGTGAATTATTATTATTGAATTATTGTACTGCTGTGTTTAAATTACCATACTGTATCCTCTGATGTTATACACGTAGTAATGTAATCAAGTTATTACTATAACTGGATCATCATCTATACTAATAATATAACTAAAATTAAATGTACTTTCCAGACTCACTCTGAAATCTGGTATTAACCTACCATCTTTCTCCTCTTCAATCTGTACCAGTCTCAGTTCTAAAGTCACCTTGTCTTGTTCAATACAAGTGTTTGTCTCTTGAACCTCTTTCAACATCTCTGATAATTTTTCCAGATTGTCCTTCATAGCAGTGATGGTTTGGTTCTGAGATTCCTGGAGGTTGAACACAATAACTCTAACAATGATGTGTTGTATCAGTCAATCAAGAAATTATTGTACCAAATACATGTACATACAAAACTCCATCTGGGTTAAACAGCCTGTACATACAGCATGTCTTGTACATGTATGTGTATGAATACATACAAATACATGCATCAGTGTACAGATCCAATAATTTTATTTTACCCATAATGTATTGCAATCTGACTTATCATAATCCATGCATACATGTGGAACACAAAAGAGTACCATCAACACGACAAAAGCATTCCCTTTCATTTTTATAAATATTTATAAAAGTTCACAATTCTACTGAGATAAAAGGTTTCTCTTGGCTGATGGAATAACATTGGAACATTTACAAATGAGGTCATTGGACACTGCGCTCGTTGATAGGCTGGTTGAACTCAACCACCATTGAAATTTACAAATATTTATTAAAATTAAGAGAATGGGTTTATTGTGTTAATAGTAAAATGATATTATTTCAATCTACTCATTCAAAGCGACATTCATTAGCATTTTGGGATTAGTATAGCAATGCCTTCTGCGACCTCTGACCTCTCTACTGTACAATACTAGGCATGCAGTGCTGTTATCTCCCAACTTACAAGTGAGAACTCATTCCTTCTTTGTATCTCTTCAAGCTCCAGAATTCTGGCCTCGAAACTTACACGAGCTTTCCTTTCGGTGTCCTTTTCTTCTCGCAACTGCTCCATCATGGACTTCATCTCATGTATCCGTGCTTCATGTTCAAGTTTCTGATCTTCTTCTGATTGGCTGAATGTTGCTTCCATCTGTAAACACAATGAGTACGAAACATCAAGAGCTAAATACGAAACACAGGAAGTGTCTACAATAATCTTGACGAACAAATTTCTGATTTTCTCTTCACATTCAAAAATTGATTAGAAAAAAAATACCAAGCGACAAACGTCTCCCATGAGAGTTTGAACAAAATTTAATACTGAACGTGTTACTGAGTATACTGTTAATACTGTTAATTTTTCTGATAAGTAAAATCCACTAAATTAAATTCAAGTAAACATGTAAAATACTCATTTTTTTTCTCTGCCAAGTTCATAAACTTAAAACCCAGCGAAAAGGCTCAAACATCAAAATGGTGAAACTAAGTGACAAAATGGTTTTACAAAATGTAATGCATTATGTGAGATAAATGCTCATTCACAAAAACACAAGAAAGCTACTGAAATATAATTTTTTTTTTCAAATTGTATCAATTAGGACTTTTAACAATAACAAAATATGTCACAAATCAATCTTAAAATTTACAAAGTATAAGAAAATACATTCGCAACAGAAACCCAGTGCAAAAATAAAGATAAAATTTTTGACATTTTCAATGACGTTTAGTTTTTTCAAAATGTCAAATGACCCTAATTGCATTATAGGTATCCTGATGGCATGAACCTATAATAATTAAAACATGAAGACAAATTACATAATTCTTAATTCAGCTTTCTTACCATTCTAATCCGGTCTTCAAGTTCATGTATTGTTGCATCGTTATTCTCTTTCTCTTGTTTCAACTCTGACACACTTTGTATCAATTCTTGTTTTTCCTGTGTTAGCAGGTCAATAGTATCTTGCAATTCAACTGAAGACAGAAAATTTTACAGTAAAACCACAGTAAATAACCTGAGACGGTATCCCCTGAATATCAAAGGCATTGTTGTGTACAATCTGGTGTCTCATCCAAAGAGTACATAGATAGGAATTCAAAAATCAAAAGCAAGAACATATAGAAAGCTTTGATGTTAATCTCTTTCATTCCATGAATAAATTATGCAAATGAGTATTTTAATATGCAAGAATAATACAAGTAAATCGGTGATTACCTAACTTAATGTTCATTTCATCGAAATCAACAAGCTTTAACTGCAACTGTCCCTTCTCATCTTCGAGTTCAGCAATCTGATGTTGCAGTCCACTCACCTCCTCAGCTAGTGAGTCAGACTAGACATTAAAATAAACCAGAACTAGAAAAGTTAATATTGTCCACATAAATTAGTCCCCATGATGGAAAGGATCAACTGACATTATTCAATAATGCCTACCGAGATCTTTTTGAGAACCACGCAACTTGTTTTTGCCCCTCGAATTGAGTTTCATTCTATTCAATTGATGACGTCTACTGTTCCACCAATCTATGTTAACCACAGTATTTAGAATATTTACAACAGTGGACATGATGACAAAGGAAAATGAAACAGACGTAAAAAAATGAGTTGCATGGTTCTCTCGCTATCAACACAATCCCAGCGTAAATTTGCAAAAGATGATCCAAAGTCGAACATGTTTGTAATTGCGATTCTGAGATTTGTATCCTGAGTGGTTGTGACAATTGCATATTTCAGTGAATAGTAATAAACTGACAATTATACGAGACTGAAACAATTATGTATTAGTGTTAAATATTCACAGGGTTTTAATTGGAAAATGCGTTATAAAATTAAAACTCAGTCAATATGTAAAATTTAGCATAGAACACATTATCTACATGATAAAACCGTGAATATGCCTTAAATGGTAAATGAGCAAATTTACAGCACAATGATTCTACTTGCTGTGTGACAATAATATACACACTATAGTGTCCATAGTTGTAATTTCAGTGACATCGGTGTTTAGGACTATTATGCGATATATTCAATGATATGAATACAATGAGTACACACTGTAAGAAATGACAGAGGATTCATCAAGGAGGTCTTCCCTAAATTACTGTTACTTGCAGTTATTTGGAAGAGATTCTATGTATTCTTTTGTTAATGGTAGTAGAGTATGTACTCACAAAATTTATTCCTATGGTCAAAATACGTAATATTTCAATGATTCAGTATACAACTAATGTGATGTGTTGTTTATACATGTATGAGCTTCTATTAGAACAAACACTCTACATGGAATTATAATTGAAAAGTGGTAACAGTAAATTTGGGACCAGAAATGAAAAGATGAAACAATTGGCAACACTCTTACATGTTGAAATGGCTTAATTTAGTGCAATTCAAGCAAAGTCATCAAGCCAATCAAAATAGGTATTAGCACATTAGCACGAAAATTGCATTTGTTGTTCAATTTATACTGAATCATTAACACTTCTAATTAAGTGTCTAATTAATTACTTCTTATGTAAGTGCAGAGAACTACGGTAATACAGTATTAACACCAAAAATATAACCTGATCTGTTCTTGAGGAGTGCTATGCAATACATGGCCAGATTCCTAACCTGTTTCAACTGTTCCAACTCAGTTTCCAGATTTCTCATCCTTTTCTTGGAATGAGCTTTTGCTTTCAGTACTTTTGTCTCAGTCTCCTTCAATGACTTTGACAGGTCCTTGATGGTTTGCTCTTTCTCTTTCAGTTCTGTCCTGAGTTTATCAAGCTCTTCCGATTGTACATGGTGTTGCGATTCCGAGGCACTGTCCAGTTCAATCAAGCGTTGTTTTGATTGGTCAAGCTCACCCTGAGTTTGGTGTAAAAGTGATTCTAATTCTCTGTACCTTTTTTGAATAGATGAATGGGCTTCGTTTAACGCAGTGAAATCATTTTCATACTGGGCGGTTGAGGTTTGTAAAGCACTGATGGTGTTCAGTTTTTCAGATAGTTCATTTTCATACTTTTCCTTCACGTCTGAGATGGCCGTTTTCCATTCGGCTTCTTTTACAGGATAGGCTTCCTGCCACTGTTGTAAATACCCTTCTGTCATCTGCAGCTTTTCGGTTAGCGACCTTATAGATGATTTTTGCTCCAGTAACTGTCGTTCCCTGTCTGCAATCTCAGCTTGTAGGACTTCGATCACTTTCAGCTTACCACTTAAGACTTCCTCTCGTTCATGCATCTTTTGCTGAAGCGTCTTGACAGCTTCTTCTTGTAAATTAGAATCAGTTTTTGACGCTAAGTTCAACAACTCCTTTTCGTGTTCTGCTATCAACAGAGCAATTTTTTCCTCCCTGTTTTTTAACATCAGTTCAACTTCATTCAGTTTTTCTTTGTAATATTTTTCAAAGTCTTCAAGTTTTTTATGATTGTTTTCCTGTTCCTGGCGGAGTTCATTCTCCTTAATTTCCAGCTGCTCCTGGAAGTGACTGCGACGTTCTTCTCCGATTTCGACTGTGTGGCTGAGCTTTTCTACGGCCGCAGTTTGATTATGAATTGTCGAATCTTTTTGACTCAACTCGTTCTGTAGCACCTATAAAGTATAAACACTTTTAAATAAAGAATGCATACACAAAACACTGTTGTGAAACATCCTGATATAATTAAATGGTGGCGATCATCGTGCCATGCATCGATCAGAAATGGGACGGCAGTGATAATTAATAGTTTATCACAATGCAATGCGCACATATCCACAGAAACAAATCTGTAGCCAAATTAGAGTGTATATGAACAAAGGAACAGTACAAATGCATATTCTCTATCGCACTGCATCTATTTCGTACAGAAAAAACCTTGGATAATAAACGCGATGACAGAAGAAAAGAAAAAACAAGTCACATGGTCTCTATCGCTCTCATCGACTAATTTCGTCTGAGGTCTATTGTTCACACCACCGTGACTTTGAAGTATGAGACACGTTGCAGTAAGTATCTCTACCAGACGACAAAGTTACTTAATTCAGAAAGCAACTTGTTTGTTACTTCATGTCCATTATTAACAAAAAGGTGGGCGCCATGCTGGTTCAACATAGCATAGTCACATATATGCATAAAAAGCTGGTTATTTGCATATATTTGCATAAATTACAAATATGCCTGACATGACGACCACTGCACATTACATTACTAGTCACAAAAAAACACAAATCATCCAGTACTGCGGTAAAAAAGAATAAAAAGCTTGCCATGAATGATTTAACAACACAGAAATAGAAATCAAATCAATTAAAACATCCTAGTTTTAATAATTGGTTTTAATGAGACAAAAACAGAATTAATTATGAGTTCTTACATTAATTTATTAAACATGCCATGCATTAACATCGCATTCACTGTTGTCATAGTTACCATGCAAGAACATATAAAACAAGATGCAACATAGAGTATAAGTATAACAATTTTCTATATTATAGTGACCAAGTATGAAATAATACTCATGAATTAGGCAAGAAAATACGAGACCCTTGACCCCCAGCAAAGCCAAAGCAGTGTTCATTGAGAAACAGATTTCAATGTTTTAATGATTTTTTTTCTAATTGCCATCATAATTATAGATGAATAAGTCATAATAAAAATCCACAATGACAGAGAAAGTAGCTATATGTAACTGAAGGATAAACTTATCAGAACTCAGAACACACATTGCCATGGCAATGCACTTTGACCTCTGACCTCCTTACCTTGATAACCTTATCTCTACTGTCTATGACTTCATTTTTGTCCTTGACATGATCCCGCAGCTCCGATATCAGCTGGTCATTTTCAAGCATTTTATTGTTTAACTCCACCACCATTTTATCCTTATAAACCATCTGGGCATACATGTCCTGCAGCTGGGTGGACTCAGCTGAGATCTGTCCCAACCAATAAACATGCAACTGATTACATGACCAATGCATGCAAACAATAATAGGACTACAATCACCACATTCAGGTTTGACGCTAGGATCCCATCACCTTTAACCTTTTCACCACCAGTTTCCTCTTTTCATCACAAATTCACAAAATAGTTCTGCTCATAGTCTGCACTTTCCTCCAGAAGATTGGGACAAAAATAGCCAAACTTTTTGAGTAAAAACAAATAATTTACACAAATTGTTCTCTGTTTGCTCCAAAATTAAGGTTCATTTTCAAAAATAATGAAGAATATTAGAAAAAAGTGCTGAAAAATTTGTTGAGAAAGTCTGGTGGTAAAAAGGTTAAAAAGTTGCATTCCCACTTTTTACGATCTGCAGAAAACCTCTCACGAATTCCTGCAAGCTTTATAAGAGCTTTAGGCTTTGTACAGTTCATGAGAAATCTTATCTATTTACAATAGAATGCTGGAATAAAATTTAGAAAATCCTCTTAAGGATGCTGTATAGGTTTTTGGTAT